GAGAGAGAGAGAGAGAGAGATGGGCGACATTGGGATTTGACGACATTTGGGTGCAGACTCAGCATCGGGATTCAGAGCTTTGGCGAGGAATTATTTGGGACTATATCGAAGACTTGGTGTTGACGACATTTCCATCTTCCCCCTCCCTCGTCTAATCCCCCTCTTCTTCGTCTGTGCATGATCAGGGGACTGACGCATTCTTCCTGTGTGAGCGTCAGCCCCTTCACACCATGAAATGATGATGATGTATGTTTGGTCTGCATGGCAGCTTGATTGATCGGATCAGTGGTGTTTGAGCCTTCCGCTGTGCTATCTTGTATCTGGCGAGAAAGATCGGTTCTTGGTCTGGTCTGCACCGTGATGGTATGCAACAGCAGGCAACATCTTCAGCATATGGTCTCTCTCCTCTCCGTCTCCACTCGGCCTCCACCAGCGGTTGTTGGGGGAGCGATCGCGGGGGCGAAATGGGTGGAAAATGTGATACACACGATGTTGGAGGTTATCTGGGTGCTGGAGGAGGGGCCGATTTCGGAGCTGGACGAGTTTGTTGATTGGCGTCAGGTGGAAACCTTGTCCAGCGATTGGTACACGCTCCTTGATGAGGGGCACGAGCGAGGTGCTGACTGGGCCAAGCGCTCAGGAGGGGAGCTGCCAATCACCATGTTGGTCACGGTCGCACCAGCAGCACTAGCTCCAATAATCTCACCGACACCTGCAACCACGTTTTCAACACCTACATCAACGATCATTGCCCCTGTGCCTGCCACGATGAGTACATACGACTTGGGGCGCTCAACAACAGAGATGGCGCAAACGACGATGACATCAGCGACATCAATCATAACAATTGTGCCTGCGACTAAGACGCTGACATCTGCACAGGCCACCACCACCACCAACAACAACTACACCAACAACAACAACTACACCAACAACAATAATACTATGCACGACAGTGGCATGAAAGGAGTGATCCTGAACTCGTGCGCGTCCGGGAGTAACAAGAACAACAAGAACAAGAACAAGAACAAGAACAACAACAACAACAACAACAACAACAACAACAACAACAACAACAACAACAATAACAACAACAACACTGACGGTGTGGTAAGTGCAACAGGGCATTCTCTTCCCCCCCCCCGCCCCCCTTCCTCCCCTCTTGTTTTCTTTCTTCCGGTGTTCCGGTGTTGATTCAATTTGGGGGGAAGGGCGAGTGGGTCGGTCGAATGGATTGGTTTGTAAAGTGGAAGGATGTGCGAGGGAGCAAGGAGTGGGATGCTGGCGTGAAGGGGTAGGATAGCGAATGCCAGATTGCCAGGTCGGATAGGGTTGTCCGTGGTTAGTTGGCTTTACCGCATCTGTCTTTGGCCACGTGGCAACAGGGCCGGTAGGGTTTGGTCATGTGGTCATTCATTGATATGTCATGTAGAATTGGCGATTTTAACTTCTGCTACGTGTCTATACACATAGGATTTGGCCACGTGGTAGGGCTGGAGGTGTTGTGAGCATCGGCACCGGGGCTGCGTATGCGGTTGATTTATGCTCTGCCACGTGGGTATCGCGATGTGACTTTTTTTCAACTTGTCCCACTTGAGCGCACCTTCGATTAACCAGTTTGCTGGTGGGCACATTCTTTTTGCTAGCATTGATCGTCAATCAAGGTTACCACCAAGGCGAGGAGCCGCGCGCGCTGGAAAACTGCATGCAGCAAGGAAAATGGCGCGCACACTTGACGATTGCGCGCGATTGGGCGCGCGCCCTGAGCTGAAAATTGGCCCGCCGATGGGCTATGTCGAGGAGCGGAGAGTTTCCAAATCTTAGAGCAAATGGTCGAGTGGATGATGAGATATCGAAGATCTAGGGCGCGCCATGAAATTCGAGTGTGTCGGGCGCTGAGAACGACGGGGGCATGAGGTGGTGGTTGTATGACTTCGGGCTTTATTTGGTACGATGCAGCTGTTCATGAGATGACGTAGTGATTCCGAATCTGCCTTCTTCTTCAACTATATGTAAGTGTGTGGTAAGTTTACGGCTATGGTGGTTCGATCCTCCTGTGGTGACATGTCAACGGGCTTGGCGAGGGGTGCCACACTGTTTTGGACTCCCTACAGGGATCGAAGATGGCCGCTTATACCTTTGG